AATATTTGGACTCATAATCTATTTAAGACAGTTAATAATGTTTATTTATGTCCTATTGTTATATTTTGTAACCGTAACACGGTGTTTTCGATTCAAAAATCACAGTCCGTCGGAATGTCCTCTGAATATTCCGAGGAAATTCCGAGGAAGAATGGTTTCCCTTGAAATTTCCTCGGGATTTCCCGAGGACATCTCGAGGAAATAAGGACATTTCTTGGTGTAATTATGTATTGATGAATAATAATGTTTAAGGAACTCACATAACAATACATCCATCCAGCAAATTATCTCTGCTTCAGTTCTTCAAGTTCCTCGTATGTGGCATGTCTATGAGTGAACCGCTTTTCTGCTATGAAAATCCTGTACATATGATCAAATTAAGGTAATTAATTAAGATTTAAATTATAACTTATAAAAAAAATCTGTAAACGAAATTATATATATATATATATATGAACCTCTCATATTGCAGAATATCTTCGCAGTTGGTGAGCAAATATGTTTGCAAATGATGATGCTCCTTCTCAGTAAGTCGACGATCCTTTGGTTTTCCGCTAAGTCGTCCAACATCTGTGAAGATGTTTGGAACCTTAACATAATATGTTGCCCTTTAGCCTCTATCATCATGACGCGCATGTCTTCTGTTTTTTGTCTACACTTCTGCTGAAAAGTAGTACTCAGCAAAGTTTGAAGTTTCTTCATTAATCATCTGTGCGACTATAGAACCTTCGGCCCTACTTAAATTTTTGACCTTCTTCTTCAGATGATACATATACCGCGCGTAAAGATACATTCATCTATACTGCACAGTACCATCAAGTTCCAATTCTCTTGCCAAGTGAATAGCAAGATGTTCCGTAACATAAAAAAACGATCCAATAAAGAGGGTTAGACTAGATAATGCTGGTGAATTTACTTCCCAAGCATTTAATGATTATTGTATGGTAACTGGAAGTGATGTAAAACATCATGTTTCTCATGTTGACACACAAAATGGTTTGGTTGAATCATTAACTAAACGTCTGCAACTGATTGCAAGACCATTAATCATGAGGTCTAAACTCCCAACCTCTGTGTGGGACATGCTATTTTGCAACAGAAGCACTAATTCGGGTGAGACCAAGAGCATATCACAAATTTTCACCAGTACAATTAGCATTTGGACGAGAACCAAATATTTCTCATCTAAGAATTTTTGGTTGCATTGTATATGTGCCAATTGCACCTTCCCAACATACAAAGATGGGACCTCAAAGGAGGTTAGGTATATATGTTGGTTGTGATTCTCCATCAATTATACGTTACCTAGAACCACAAACTGGTGATGTATTTACGGCACGTTTCGCTGATTGCCACTTTGATGAAAAAATATTTCCAGTTCTAGAGGGAGAAAATAAACAAGTAGAAAAAGAGATAAAATGGTGTGCGCCATCTCTACTACACCTTGATCCTCCTAAAAAACAATCGAAATTAGAAGTCACTCGAATTATGCATTTGCAAAGCATTGCAAATCAACTACCTGATGCATTTGCAGACACCAAAATGGTAACAAAATCACATATACCCGCTGCAAATGCTCCTTCTCGTATTGAAATGCCACATGAACGTGGAGCATATGATAATACACGAGATTCAAAAATACGTTAAAAACGTGGTAGACATGTTAGTTCTAAGGATATAAATTCTAGAAAACGAAAGGAGATGGAAAAGCAAAATCCATCCAATACAATAGAAATGCCGGAAGAAATGAACCATGAGGTTGATAACAGTGCTGAACATCATGATTCTGAAGAAAATCATGAGATTTCTATTAACTACATTCACAATAGAAAAATATGGAAGCAAAATAATGTGAATGGTGTCAATGATATTTTCTCGTACTTTGTTTCAAAAGAAATAAATGAAGAAAGTGATGACCCTGAGCCGAAATCTATCTCAGAATGTCAAAAGAGACACGACTGGATGAAATGGAAGGATGCAATACAAGTTGAGCTTGATTCTCTTAACAAACGAGAGGTATTTGGACCTATCGTAATCACACCTGAAGCTGTGAAACATGTCGGATACAAGTGGGCTTTCGTTCGGAAACGAAATGAGAAAAACGAAGTAATGAGATACAAGGCTCGTCTTGTAGCTCAAGGATTTTCTCAAAGACCTGAGATTGATTATGAAAAAACATATTCTCCTGTTATGGATGCAATCACTTTTTGATTTTTGATGAGTCTTACTGCTACTCTATATTGTGCATTTTAGTCAATATATATAGTAATTTGTGTCTATAATTTTACACTATAAAAGGAGACCTTGTGTATTGTAACGAATACACCATAATAATTTATCATCTCCCTTCTCTTTTGGTACTCTTTTTTCTCTCTCTTTAGTGTACTTCTTCTCCTTCATATTATTCTTTACATATTTAGTCTCTCTTTATTATTTACGTAAAACACTCATAACCTAATTAACAATTATAATAGGAAACACAAAACTATAATATAATTATAACATAAATGATATTTTTGTTCTTTTTTTTTTTGAAACACTTTAAATGATTCTAAGTCCCATTAATTTCTTATGATAAAAAGCCCAACAATGATTTTTTTGGTGTTAAAAAAAAGAAGCCCAATAACATAAAATTTTCCCTTAATGCTTGCTCTCCTTTCTTCAATTTTCTGAACCACTGTTAGAAGAAAAACGACGAGTCCGAGAGAGAGAGAGTCGAAAGAGGTAAAGAGTTGCTTAGATTATCCATCTCTCTCTTTGCAATTTCGTTTCTGATCTCAAAGTTTGCAACTTTATATCTCTCTAGACTCGGACTCTCTGTTTTTTCAAACTCGGTTCATGCAAACTAAACTATAACCCTTGCCTGTAATAAAAAAAAAACGACTTTGTTATAGTATCAGATACGAGAAAAGGATTGATCTTTTAGAGGATTATAGTTTTTTGATTCTGTCTTTAAAATTCTCACATTTTGAGGCTATTAGTGCATAGGATCATCTAAGTTTTGTGTAAGAGAGGTTGCTACAATGCGTTATGCACAACTTGTTATTGGGCCAGCAGGCAGCGGAAAGGTTAAGCTCTATGCATTTCTTTTTTTTTTAATACAAAGAATGCAAGTTAAAGTAGTATTGTTTATCAGCCAACTTTACTAAAAGGAGTTTATGTTTTTTGTATTTTTGTTGGAGCAGTCAACTTATTGCTCATCTTTACACCAACACTGTGAAACTATCAGACGAACAATGCACATCGTGAACTTGGATCCTGCTGCAGAAGTCTTCAACTATCCTGTGGCAATGGGTGAGTTAGTTCACTGCTTTCTTCAGTGTCCCAGTCTTCCGGTTTCTTAGTCTCACACCTCTGGATGCAGATATCCGAGAGCTTGTTTCCGTTGATTTTGTTATGGAGGAGCTTAAATGTGGTCCCAATGCTGCTCTCATCCGTTCTATGGAGTATCCTTTCTTGTTAACCTTATAGGGCTTTAACACTGTGATTTTGGTTTTTTTGTGTTCTGTTAACTGGAAGAGACCTTAACTTTGAGTTCATAGGTACCTTGAGGACAGTCTATATAATTGGTTGGATGAAGAATTGGAGAATTTCACAGACGATGACTACTTAGTCTTTGACTGTCCAGGTGTATCTCTCTCTCTTAGAGAACCCAATGTGTTTCTCTCTGTCTTTGATCCATGATTGTTTAACTGTTATGTTGTGGTTGTAGGCCAGATAGAGATTTTTACACATGTACCTGTGCTTAAGAACTTTGTGGAGCATTTGAAGAAGAATAACTTCAATGTCTGTGCAGTGTATTTGCTTGATTCACAGGTTTTTTTTCCCTTGCCTTTTGATTATGAGTTTTAGTAGAAACCATTCAGTGTTTTGGCATAAAAGAGAATATATATATTGGATCAGTTTGTAACAGATGTAACCAAGTTTATCAGCGGATGTATGGTTTCTCTTTCTGCAATGATCCAGCTTGAACTGCCTCATGTTAACATCCTTTCTAAGATGGATCTCTTACAGGATAAAACCAACATTGAGGAGTGAGTCTTGCTTTCTCTGTTCTTCTTAGTCTACCATGTTTTTTGTTTCTTCTTGCTGAAATTTATAATATTCATTTAACATATCTAGATACTTGAATCTGGAGCCTCGCACAATGCTGGCTGGGTTAAACCAGAGGATGGCTCCTCAATTTGCAAAACTGAACAAGGCCTTGATTGAACTGGTAATGGTTCTCATACGTTTGTTGAATGTTGGATCAACTGATTTTGAAATGTTTGTTTTGAAGGTGGAACAGTATAGCACGGTGAGATTCACGCCGCTTGATTTGAGGAAAGAAAGGAGGTAAACTCAAAACCCAAATTCACGTTTTACTTTCTTACATGTTTAGTTTTAGTATCAAAATGAAAATGTAGCTGAAATGTTTTGTGGACAGCATACAATATGTACTGTCTGAAATCGACAAGTGCATTCAGTTTGGAGAAGACGCAGACGTTAAGATCAGAGAACTTGATGAAGATATGGATCAACTAGAGCTCTAGAAGAATATGCTTGGAAGACTTCTAAGTGAATGAATAGTACTGGGTAGTGTTAGTAGTAGTGACTGAATTGCCTCAAGGTCTAATTTTCCAGTTATGGGTTTGTTCATTTTTTTAAATTTCAGATATTGAATGGTAAACTCGAGTTAAATACAATTGCAAATTCGATATTTTATGAATGTAACAAACAAGTGCGTTGTTTAGTCTTATGATTCGTTATAACATAAGCCAACGTATTATCAAAAGTTTTATCAGCAGCTGATCATTAATTAAGCTAAAAAAATATAAAATGCAAACCTATGAAAATCTCGAATCATAAACTACGAAAATATAAACATCATTCTTTGCTTTTTAAATTTCAGATATTGAATGGTAAACTCGAGTTAAATACAATTGCAGATTAGAGATTTTGTGATTGTAACAAATTAGTGCTTTATTTAATCTTATGATTCGTTGATATATCAAATGTTATATCAGAAACTGATCATTAATAAGATAAAAAATATAAGCTGCAAAACTATCAAAATGTCAAAAAGATTTCTTCAAAGAAAATAGCATACTCATACTCAAAATCCTCAAACACAATTAAAATGTGAAAGCAAAAGCTTAATGTTTTAAGTCTGGCAAAAAAGTAAAAAGCTACAAGAGATATCATGAGACACTGAAAGTTGCGGTGATTTACTCTTCGTCGTCCTCATCATCATCATCACCACCAGCAGCACCGTTCAATGCCTTAACTCTCTCGATCAATTTGTTCTTCCTCTGTTCATAGGTCAACTTCTTCAAATTGTACCTGTTATTAAGTCAAAAACACACAAATGAGACATCAAGAAACCAAACGAGAGCCAATCGTATTAAGAAAGAATGAAAAATGCTGACCTCTTGTGTGCCTTGGGAGCAGGTTTCTCGGTCTTCTTAGGGTTGGGGTCTGCACGGATGGCTGCGTGAACCTTCTTGTACAACTCCTCCATGTTCTCAGCATCAACTCCTTTCTTCAAGTACTGACTGAAGTGAGTTTGAAACTTCTCTGGCTCATCTTCGTTCAACATCTTCATGTAGTTTGAGACATGACCACCGTAGATGTAGTTCCTGTGGATCGCAGCATCGAGTTGCTTGTTCTCCTTGTTGAAACCGGCAAACCTCTTGTCACTGTGGGGGATATCAAGTCCTCCGTCCAAGGCTCCCTACAGTACAGAATAAACAAATTCATGAAACCCACAATAGAACAGATAATAACAATGACAAAGGCATTACAACAGTTTATGTACCTTGAGAGCACCGAAGACACGGTTTCCTGTTGTGGTCCTGATGAGACCAACATCAAGAAGAGCACGGAAAGGCCTCCTTGACTCGGTGGGTTCCACAGAGAAGTCCTCTCCAGTAGCCTGAGAATAAATTTATTCAATTAGAGATACACCGAGAGATAGATAAAGCTCAACTCATACGTAAAAGGTCACTGCTTACCTCAACGTTGCCCTCGTACTCGTCATCCATTTCCAACATCTTCAGGACACGGCGAGCCAAGAGAAGGCCAGTACAGTAAGCTGTTTTTTACAAAACAAAAAAGAAAGTACTCTTTAGCAAACTAACTATAAAGGCAAACCAATCATCTAAATTTATAGCACTAAAGCATAGGACAGTTCAATACCAGCAGCGTAGTTGGTAAGTCCAACAGTGAGTCCATACTGAGGCAACTCATGTGCGTAAGCAGAAGCCTTGACGATATCACCAGCTATGCTTGCGGACACGATCTGTGCGACAATGTCTTTGTTGGTAAACCTGACAACAAAACGGTACTTTGGTGTGTTGTACTTATTCTTGTCTTGGTTGATCAGACGGATCCTTGCTCTGTAATCAGTCTTACCATCTGTACACAAAATGAACAAACTTTCAGAACACAGACAATATAAAGACAAAGAAAGTAATGAAGAATCTATCCATACCTCTTCTTCTCCTGAACTTGACTTGGTACCTCTTGAAGTAAGCATTCGACTTGGAAGGCTTCACAAACACCTAACAATACAAAACATCTTTATTCATCAGACTATTATCATATAAAACCCTAACTAAACATTAAGATCTAACGATATAATTGTTCTTCACAAGGCAACAGAGATCTATGTGTAATATCGTAAAGGTACAGCCTTTATAAATCTAAGTCAAAAACCCATCAAGATTACAACCAAAGCAAAGAAAAATATGAAAAAGCTGAGGAGAACTAATTCAGGAGGTTTCAATATTAAAATGAAATGAAAAGCAGAATCTTTGGGAAACCATGGCGGAAGAAGAGCACAAAGAGATGAAGGAGAGCTAGGGCTTACCATTGTTCGAAGCTTTGGGGTGTGACGAGAAGACAAGAGGCGGAACTAACCTAAATGCGGGAGGTCTTATAATGAAAAACCCTAGATGACTCCTTCTTGGGCTCTAATGTGGGCTTAATTATGTTTTAACGGTCTAGAACGGGTATGTATTCTACAGAGGCTCATTAGGCTTTATATTTGGGCTTTTGTCTTCCCAAACTATTCTGAGAGGTCTTTATGATAATATATTATATAGTAAGCTTATTTAGCTAGAAAATGTTTTATAAAATGCAATAATTCAAAATATTTAGTTATGTTAGTTTATAATTTCTTTTAGAAAATATAGTACACAAAAAATAGTTCAGCCTTTTGATATTTATTTATGTCAACAAGAGTTCTTATTTATTTATGTGATGGAAATATGTGCTGGATTATAATCTTAATGTTTTGAATGACATTACTAATTTTGAATCTTTTTCTATAATTTTGGTATCTTTTCTTGAAACAGAATACAAATGATGGGAAAGTAAAATGAATAATATGTGATAGCTTAAAATAAATGGCCCCTTTAATAAATGTGCAACATAATAATTTGTAACTAGTTTGTGTAGTTCTTGAGCATGTGGCTCAGGAGTCAGGACTGATAATCAGTGTTAGTGTTGCTGAATCATCAATATAATCTGCAGAAAGATATATCTACTACTTGAATGTAGTTATTGCCATCACCAGAGTAAGTGTGGGAATTTCACCAATATTCTTCTATCCTGGTCTTTTCTTTACCACCAAAACAGTTGCTAGGCATGAGTCATGATTATAACCACTAATAGATCAAACCCTCTATGCACTTAAAAGAAATTGAAACTTCTTTTATGGGAACAGATCACAATCATACAATGTATATTAAAGTATTATTTTTAGCTGCTGGTGCTCCGTTTTCGGGTTACCAAAGAGCTACCTTGAGACCATTGAGATTATGTATGTTCTTATGGTCAGAACTCCAAGTGGTTGTCAAGGCCAAGAGTGCATGTAAATATATAATTTTTCCTAAAGATGAAGGAGGATTTGGTACTTCAAAACTAAGAGAATTGTCAAAGCCATTTTTCTTAGGGTGAGCTGGTATTCTAGTGTGCACTAAAATTCAACGAATAAAACATCTGTGTTTACTCTTAGGTAACACTTGAAAGAATTCATTCTATTATGTAAAGTGTTTGGTTTGAGACATCTTCTTTCTCATAACTAATAGTCAATTTAAGGGAAATTTGTCAAAAGAGGACAAAAAAGCACAACTATTGTCCCCTTAGAATAAAATCAAATTTTGTCACTTTTGGATTTCTACTACCTTTTTGTATAAACGAATTCATAACAATAAATTAACAAGGCAAAAAATTGAGGAAAAATATAAAATATGAAATAGAGTAGCATGTGAATATATGAAAAATATTTTTAGATTCAAAAAATGTTTGGAATAGTAATTTCAAAAATTGGATAAATGGGTAGTAAATCAGATCTACTATCTACGGCTGTTCAGAGTGTGCAATCTACTAACAACTAATCCATCTAAAGGGTTTAGAATGCATAATACACCAAAACATATACATCTTCGAATGAATAATATGATATCTGACTTTCCTTCTTTGTTCTGGAGTTTTACTAGAACATAACATATACGAAAGATTCACGCGTCTACCTTAGCAGAACATATCTTCTTAATTTTAATGTTTTATCTGGGTTCGTGGGATTACGTATCTACTGGTTAAACTATTTGATAAATTTGGTAGAATGTATCTTCTACCAACGTTTTTTGAGCCATAATCCGAAAATCTAGGAAAATCTAAAGAATAATGGTTAGTAAATATTCTCTAAATATTTTTGTTTCCTTTTTAATATTTTTGCCATGAACGTGTTTAAGTTTCATATTTGGTATATATAACCTATTATATACTACCTTTTTTTTATTAGATGACAATATGATAACTTGGTTCAGTGGTTTATATGTCTAAGACCTCTATTAGTAACCCGAGTTCAAGTAATTGCACTGCACATGTTTTCCTATTTTTTGTCTTTTTTGCTGTTTATAACACTAATCCTTGAAGTTAACATCTTTGTAGAATTTAGTACGCAAAGTACTCAAAGGAAGCAATTAGCATCTTTGTGGAATTGTCGTGGTGAACTCATACGAGTGGTTTTATGGTTCTAATATTAGAATTGTCGTGGTGAACTCATACGAGTGGTTTTATGGTTCTAATATTGACGCAATTTATATTGACAGAATGGTCACACGGTTTCTGAACAACAAGATAACAATCAAACATGTCTCAACAACAAGAGCAAAGCAAAATTTTTTTTCCATACTTGTAATGTAAACAAGAGAAACCAATCACGTAAAGAGAGGTTATCATATTCTCTCTGTAGTTAAACAATATGCTAAGAGATCAAGGATGACATCAAGACCTAACGAGAGCAAACAAAATTAGCACAACGACATGTGTCTGCTACAATGTTGTGTCCGTTTGATGCTAGCTGTGATGATAAACAAATTACTGGCTCGGTTTCACTGCTACAAGTCATGAAAGAATCTCGAGTTATGGCATTGATTTTGGCTGGTTCGTATAAGATTCTTTCATGAATTGTTTGATTTTGGCTGGTTCGTATAAGATACATCATCCCATATAACAAAAACGTCTTTCACCTTAGTGATACTAGTCTTACACCTCAAACAAAAGAACAACTTTGCTCAATCACAAATATAAAAAGATTCAAGTCATAAAATAACCAATTATAAAAAAAGATTGAGCATAAATGTAGCTGGCAAAGCAACTATGTTCTAACTTCCAGCAATACTCCAAACAAGTTGTGATGAAGTAAATCAATAGCAGAAGCAGACAATCCTTTCTCGCTAGAATCAAAAACCTACACAAAACACCGTTTGAATCAGCTCTAGTTCTAGTACTTCCACCATCGAGATCCACATAAGTGTTGTGTATATTTAACTACCTTGACGGCGGATCCCAAAGAAAGCGAAGAGGCTATAAGAGAAGACGATTTGATTCGAGAAATCTAACATGATCCATCGCTCAACGCCGAATAAAAACTAAGAATAAACCATAAATACGAGATTGGAGTAATAGGGGGCGATGAAGAAAGGGGTGGGTTAGGTTAGAAGTTAACGTGAAAAAACTATATTTCAAAATAATAATCCATTTGATACACATTTTGGGTCTAATACGAAGGATAAAATGGGATTATCATTATTGTTTATACTAAGTGGACAAAAATCTCAAGTATAATTCTAAGGGGACAATATGTTAATTTTTTTGTCCCTTTTTGGCAAATTTCCCTAAATTTAAACCCAAGTAACACGAAGAACATTATGCCAAATAAATACTGTGTAATGTGGATTGTACATGTGTGACTAATCAAAACTCTCATATATAGGACTTGTAGAATGGAAAGAAACAAGTTGAACCCCCCCCCCCCTCCCCCCCAGAAAAAACGAATGGAAAGAAACAATATATGTAATGTGAATATAGCAATAATGAGTCTCTGATCAGTGATTAGTGAAAGAATGGAAGGTATGTAAGGCTTTTAAATGTAAGATTGATGATTGAGTTGGATAACGTGAGACTGATCATTCGCTCCATCGACAAACTTGTTTCACACATTTTGACAAGAACCTATTAGAGGTCAATAAATGGAAAACTGAAGAAGTAGAATAAGTAAAACATAAACCATTTCAGCTTAATGATAAGCTAATGTTGCAAGTTGATTTTTTTTGTCTTTAACACCATATCAAGTAAAGCATACAAGATAAAGATGAAACAAATGCTGGAATAGACCAAGTGGAGTAAAAAAAATCTATAATAAACCTCCTCCTTTTTCAATTAATTTGTATTTAAAAAAAAATAGAAAAAGTAGGGAAATGACCATTATCCTTACAAAAGTTGATAAAATTACAAACCCAACCAGATACAATTCAACCCAGATAGCATCACTTGGATCCGGGTCGGATCTTTTCCCAAAGCCCTAATTTTTTGTTCTTCCCCCTTTTCAACCATTGATGGTTCAGTTTTTTTTTTCAAATTTTTCATCTCAATTTTTTTTTTCTAAACAATTTCGATTCTCTTTCTCAGTTTGTATCTTCTACATCAACAATCATCATTCTCTTAATCAATTACCAATCTCTCTTTTTATTCTCCATTGATGCTTTCTCATCCAAAATTGAAACTAAAAAAAAAAATTGAAACTAGTAATCATTCTTATCTCAAATATATCAATCTTAATCATTTTTGGTCAAATCCATCGACCCACCATCCTCTTCAATCAATTTACTATGTTTTTAAACCGAACCTATCATCAATATATGATATTCACGACAATGAAGAACGCAGAGTATTACTAGTATAACTCAAACGAATATAACTGGTAAAACTAGAGTGTGTATAACTAGTATAATTGGTACAACTAGAATGCTTATAATTAGTATAACTGATACAACTAGAATATATAAATTTTAAAAACTAAATAGTTGTTACCAATATTACAATTAAATGGTGAAATTTGTTTTCTTTTTTTTTTTTTTTTTTTTTTTTTTTTTTTTTTTTTTTTTTTTTAGCATATGAATATTTAGACAAGAGGATGATGTGAAACTATCAGCAGAACATCAAGCCGATCCCGATCATTCCCTGACACTATCAGCAGAATTGCCTTCTCAGGATGATGGAGAGGGTACACCAAGCCCATCACTTCCGATTGAGCTACAAAAATCACCGATTCAAACACCCAGTGAGACAGAGAATTCACTGCAAGCTCCATTAATTTCTACCAACAGAGAGTCAGGCTCACCTGAAGCTGCCATTAACAATGACACACAAAATCGGTAAACAGATCAATTTAAAATGGTTTTGGAATTGTTTATGATAAGATTGAACTAACAAATAGGAACCGTGAACAGATTGGATCTAACAACAGAGATTCAAACCCACCTGAAGCTGCTGCCATTGACAATGACGCGCCAATAATGGTAACAAGTCGATTTGAAATGGTTTTAGGAATATTTACTATAGGGTTGAGTTAACAAATCAGTAGTAATTATATAAGAAGTGTAACTAGTACAATTAAAAGAATGAAAATAGTTCAATTGGTAATAAAATGTTGTAAAACAAAATCAGTATAACTAGTAAAACCCTGCTTTTTATAAGTAATATAACTGGTACAGCTATCAAATGTATAACTAGTTTACCTAATACAACTAAGTATTGTATAATTAGTATAACTTGTACAACTAAGGGATTTTGTGTGATATAAGTCGGTTATTCAGTGTATTTTATTTGTGTTTTCAGGTTGAGGAGACGATACGGCTGGTCCTACGGCTGTAGAAGCTGACAGACTTGTTGGCTTTTTCTTCAAGCTGAATGCATATGAGAAGGGTTGCAAGCTCTCCTCAAGGTGCAACCTCTACCATTTTCAGGACATGATCAAATATTTTCATGAGTCAGAGAAGAATTGGTTTAAATAGTTATTTGTTTGACTAGTTATACTACTACTACTAATTTACTGTTTTTTAAATCATCTTTAATCTCGAAGTCGAAGAAGACAGTAATTGTACTAATTGTATTGTATCATATAATTACACAGTTACCTTAGTGATACCACTTATGTATGTTTACATGATTTGTATGGTTACTATGTTTTCTTGTAGATGATATAGGACATGAGTGATGCCATATCGGTTGAGGAATCAACTAAGGAGGATTGTAACTGAAAGAAAAAGCTTGAGAAGGATGCAATTGAAAATGAGGGGGCAGTTGGAAATGAGGAGGAGACAACTAGTAAAACTACTCATCTTAATATTCAACTATAATGATTAAAACATGATGCACAATACAAAAAGAAATAACATAGTTGTACTAGTATTATAGTTGTACTAGTTTGTACATAGTTGTACTAGTTTTTTAGTTATACCGATTTGTACATAGTTGTATTTCGGTAGTGAAATAAAAAAAAACTAGTTGTACCACATAAAATTTAAACTTACTTCAGTTGTACCACTTCTTGATGTGTACATGCATATGCCATAATACAATGAAATCACCAGTTTTATTAAAATACATTTCATGTATGTTTTCCAAAAGTTATGTGGACAAAGAAGTTAGCAAACCTTAAAAGCATAAGGTAGATTATGCAAATTTATATGATTGTGCTATAATTACAAAAAAAATAAAAAAAAAATATAGCTAATCTAATTAAAAAACCTTTAAATATAAGGTATGTAATGTAAAACTAATGTAACAATATAATAGTTGTAAGAGTTTTTGAGTTGTATCGGTTTGTACATAGTTGTACTAGTTTTTGATTTGTACTAGTTTGTAAATAGTTGTACTAGTTTTTGAGTTATACCGGTTTGTACATAGTTGTACTTTGACAGTGAAATCAAAAAAACTATTTGTACCACATGAAATTTAAACTTACCTCAGTTGTACCACATTTTTATGTGTATATATGTCTTCGCCCAATACAATGAGATCATCGATTTTGTTAAAATGCATTTCAAATATGTTTCCTCCTCGCAAGGATAGACACTTGGAGCCTTGAACACGTTCTCCCTGAACGTAATGAAGCGGCAACGGCAATCGCTTTAAGTGTCACTCGTGATCAGCGTCAACAGTCCTACATGGCCAGATATGCTCCAGTGTGGCTTCATCATCTTCTCGCTTTGGAGGCTCATCCATAAGGGGTTTGTTTTGGTGAGCTCCTATCATCTCTTTTTAAGATGTCTAATGACATCCCTTTACTTTTTCTCTTCTGTACCGGTTCTTTCCTTTGTTGTACTATCCGAGCTACCAGTGTTATAAAAAATAAGAAGTTAACAAACCTTAAAAGTATAAGGTATATCATATAAACTTATGGAGTTGTGTAATAACTTTTAATTTTTTTTTCAAAACTTCAAATATCTTAGGAGAAAAAAACCTGACTACATACCATTTTGGATATTTGATAGTGTTCTCATATGGAATACCAAATTGGTTTGCCAATTTTTTGAAATTTCCAAGTTGTACCAGTTGTACCAATAATACTCATCTAATATATAATAAAAAATTATAACAATTATATCAATTGTTTATATGTTTAATTTTAGAAGTTGTACCAATATTTTCATAATAATATAGGTAATTTAAGTTTGACCAAAAAAATATAGCTAATTTACTTAACAGACCTTAAATATAATATATATATATATATATATATATATATATATATATATTATGTAAAATTAAGAGTGTAACGTAATAATTTAACAAAAAAATAAAACTTCAAATAAAATAGATGAAATTTTGTCATCATATACCAATTAGGATATATGTTTGTTTATTTCATATGTAATATATGATTATTAGTCGTTTCAATTATAGTAGTTTTATATTGTACATGAATTATAACATTTATATATCAGTTATACTACTTATATCAATTTTTAACATGTTTAGTTATACAAGTTATACTAGTTGTACCCAGTTTTCTCTTATCATCTGACGGATCAGATTACATCTCGCATTATCTGATCTGATGGTTCACATTCAACTTTCATTAATGGCAAAAGGGTAATTTCGAAACCCTTGGTCTATGATAGATTAGTTTTGGTTGTTGGAGATTTTTTTGAAGCCATTTGTCTCACTATAGATTTTGGTCCGATAAAGATAAATATGTTGAAGAAGATGTGTAGAACGTTTATCATTATAGATGGAGTAATTAAGAAACACCCTTCGTTTTTGGCGATGATTCTGATGGACACGAACTCGGCTCTTATCCTATGGAGACATCAGAGAGAGAACTATAAAGAATAACGGGTTGCGTTATGGTTAGCTGAAGTTTCAATGTCTTTACCCCTCTTGGTCTTTAGGTTTTTTTTTTTTTTTTTCCATTCGGACCTTAAGTCCGCTAGCGGCAGAGGTTGTAGCAAGGGAACATCAATGGCCTAAAGCTTCTTCTGGTGAAGCGCCCTTGAGTGAAGTCGTTAAAGGGACACGCACAGAACTCTGATCCTAGGAGACCATAGCGAGGTGAAGAATTGCAATATCTGGGAAGGCTTGGGTTAGATGAAACCTTGTATATACGGCCTTATGTTGCGTTTCTTGGTGTAAGGTTCGGAGACTTCGACCCCGGTAAGAAGGAGGCGTCCGAGCAATAAGCACTTTGAGTGTTGTGGCAGTTGATCCACGTATATCACTCCAATCATAAGGAGATTACTGCTTGCTTCCAACTGATGTCTCGTATTTGTTCTCTTTTGAACTGGTTATGTCTTGTCTTCTGTAACTATGTGGTTTAATTATGTGGTTAAAGTGTCTGGATGAGATGATATGGTAACGTAGGAACCAAATGAGTGTTTCTAGGTGGTACTGTATCCTCATCCTTATGTCACATTGTGGTTAAGTCTCTTTTGAGACATTGGGGTCACAATTTGATTGTATTAGAATCATTTGGTTAATGAAAAGTTGAAATTGAGCAAAAAAAAGAAAAAAGAAAAAAGAAACACCCTTCGTTTATTCCAATCCCTTCTCAGTTGAGGCTATTCTCTTCCTGGCTTTCTCTGCCTGCAAATCATAGATTTGAAAGATTTAAAAAACAAAACAGAATAATATGGAAGTGTAACAACCTGAAATGGTTAATCTTCTATTCCAAGCACTAACCTGTTCCTTCCAGTTCATGGAGCTTATAATGATAGAAAGTATAATGGCTTGAGCAGTGGATCCAACCACAACACCGCACCACAATCCTTTTCCGTTAAAATGACGATAGAAAGCTAAGTAAACTCCAACCGGAGCTCCTATGAGATAATAAGACACCACATTGTTCCAAGCTCCAATATGTTGCCAACCACTTCCACTAGCAACACCGTTGAGAACTGCCGTAAATCCGTCAAGGATGAAAGAAAGACAGAGCAAAGGAGATAGTTCAGCCACATAGTCCACAACTTCTTTGCTGTTGCTAAACGCGTAGCCTACGATATTCTTGCAGGTGAAGAGAAGTGTGGCGAAGAAAATCGACTCTACAATCCAGAGAGAAAGCCCTGACAATACTGATAGCTTAGCAACTTGATGATACCCAGCTCCCAAATTGTTAGACACACGTGTGCTGCAAGAAACCAATCAAAAATGTTGAGAAATGGAATTGTAGAGAAGATTTGGTCTGAGAGTTTTAAATCATATACCTCACACCCGCGGCCACTCCACTTGGAATTACATAGTGCAAAGCTGCTGTTGTAAAACTGAAATAAAAGAAATTGGATAAATACTCTCTAGTAAAGAGAAAAAAAATAAGAAGAAAAAGTATTTATATATTATACTTTTTTCTTTTGAGAAAGGGCTATTTATATATGATACTTACCATATCGAAAGAACAGAGGTCTCAAGTTTTGGATTAGGGAGAAGACCTGAGGAGAGTACGAGTAGCTCAAATAGCCACCATTCTAGGCTATAAAAAAGACAAATAATGCAAGCGGGATGAGAGGGAGCCATAGCGTATATAACCAGGACTCCGCCAATGAAGATGAGGGAATGTTTCTTTCCCTATCTAATCTATTAAAAAGGGTAATTCTTGTAAGCACAAATTTTTTTAATCACAAATAGCATGTAATAAATAGTATGATCAAAATAACATTTATTATATACTAAAAACGAAGTTATTTTTAATCAATATTTAATCTAAATAATTTTTATAATAACTATAAAAGTATATTTTTAAATTGCTGCAAATTTTTTTTATCAGAAATCCCTAAACCTCATCTATAAAAATCTAAATCCTAATTTTTAACCAATTATCCCTATATATATACTGTATATGCTAGTTTTTTCTTCCTTGTGAGCTATTTTTTTGATAAAACAATTTTGTGATTAAAATATCGAAATTATTAGCTTTAAAGTGTAACTTGACAAGCAATGAACTTGAAAATGACTTACCAAACCATTGCTGCTGATGGAATTCCGTATTGGAAGAATTGTTTGACGCAAGAAACAAAATCTTCAGATACTAAGCCACGAGTCTTTTCACAAGAGGTGGAGAATCTAACGTAGAATGCAAGTATGAAAGCATAAAACCAGAAAGACACACTAATAGCCATAGCAGCTCCATTGCTTCCCAGACCAAACACAGAAACCATAGTCCAGCAAACTGGGATATGGAACAAAAGGGTGGCTACGGCAGTGTAGAGCAGAGGGATAACCAGCCCTTGTGTCTGAAGATACCTAGTGAGTGGTATGACAATAGCTTGGCCAAATAAACCCGGTATGAGCCAAAAGGCATAGGAGCCAGCTACTCTGGAGATGTCAGGGTCTTGTCCGATAGAGACCAAAAGCTTTTCGATGTAAAACCAGAGAATTGATATGAGGAAACAAATTGGGATGTTGGAAGCGATTGCAGAGTATGTGTAGGTTCCAACTAGTTCGAATCGTTTGGCTCCAAAAGCTTGGCCACAAAGAGTTTCCAAAGCACCCACTAAACCATACTGCACAAAACATTTTCATGAATTGAGAATCAATTCTTTTTTTTTCAATTTTATTATATTCTTATAACGAAGAAGAGAGAGTCTTGGCATAGTTATTACCAGAATACTGAAACCGGAGACATTCGTGAAGGAGGTGGCAAGAGCGACGCCGGAGAGCTGAAGCTCGCTGTAGTGGCCGGCGACCATGACTGAGATGACAGGCAAAAGGTATTCAGAAAAGGTCACGATGGCCATAGGAGCGGCTAAGAGGCTTAATTTCTTCAGCTCGACGATGAGCTGGCCTCTTTGCCATGTCGTTTTACCGGGGACTAGCTCCTCCTCTCTCAGAAGAAACGGCTCAGAAGAAACAGCTTCGTCCATTGTCGTCTTCCAAGTGTTGAAGCCTTTGCCTTTGATTTCAAGATAAAGTTGAATCTTTATAGACAAAAGGAACCAAAGTGTCAATGTCAATAAAGACTTTTCTTTCTGTAGAACATGGGTGTATTATTATTGAATTTACATGACTTTTAGGTCTAGTAAAAACAAAAAAAACACGTTTTCCACGAAGGAAGTTGGTGTAAACTTTCTTTTTCTTTGTCATCTATTAGATTAATATTGATCTAACCAAATTTTTACACAAAGCCAGCAAAATTATGAAACCTTTCTTATCATCATGATATAATAAAGAGAAATTAAATATATATATATATATATATATATATATATTAAGTTAAATAACCATTTTATGGAATTTATAACTCTTAATCATACTTTTAAGGGGATTTGAAGTTCCTTGATACCAAATGGTGAGGTATAAATCGCTCTTATTCTCATGTCTTTTGACCTATTCATACAGTTCACATATATTCTTGTTCATGATTCAAGATTTTTTCCTTCAACTCACAACCACTCCACTACATTTGGGGTAGAACTAGGATCCACAACATCCACTATAAAGTATCAGAAAACACATTCGATGTAATTTATAAGATCATTACTCTCAGCGTTATAGGTATACAAACCCTAAAGAATATACAAAAGAAGTACATGGCTAAGAGCTAAGCCTATGATTACATCTATAACTCTAGCTTACTCTATCTCTATAAGAGACACCATGGAAGCTCTCCTATAAGACTTGGAGGCTTTTGCCTCCTAGAGACTACTGTCGTGACCTCTCCTTGTTGGTATACAAGCACTTAATCTAATAGGCTTCGATGATTAGGCCCATAGATTATCTGCATGTAACTTGTGTCATCCCAATATTGAACAAGTCCGATGAACTTGACTAAACCTCATAAAACTCCACCTGTTTGATCCAAGTCCATAACCCTTTCTTTGTGCTGACACCTCGTGGTGCTTAAGAAAAACTGCTTATCTTTAGCATCTCCTTGTCTTATCTTATCTCTTATCACTTCTCTCAGCTCCACCTTGAGCCAAGCTTGAAATCCTTTTATGATCTTCTTGAAATCTGCATAAGCTTACACTTATATGTCATAACTGCTCAAATAGATTATACACTTAAATCCACTTAACCCCATCAATGAAAATAAACATCACGCTTGATGAAAGATATGTGACAATCCCATTGTCATTCTGAATTTCCATCACCTTCATCTAGTATCTTGAGTTGCGAACCCAACTGCTACACTCCAACTATCAAGCCCAACTCCTCATTAACGTTGTATTTCTTCATATCTTATTTTTCATCGTGAACTTATCAGCAACACAACCTTGCTATAAAAATCAAGACTTGTTCAAGTGCTTAAACAGAAACTGAACATCTTTTCTGCAAGTTGATTTCCTCCTTGACCTTTCGATTATGCTCATGCGCATTGAGCCTTGAATCAAAATCCTTAAATATGTGCAACAACCTTTGAACCATATATGTTTCAGTCATGAAACAACCTCTGATTCTCTAGTTGTTTAAAATACTCCAGCCTGAACGCCTTTTGTACCACAAATAGCCATTTGCTCCATCATATACTGTTACACAGTCTTCCCTTGCTATAGTTTCTTCTTCGTGGAGGTACAACCTATATCATCCACACTAACTTGTTGACTCTTCAGACTTTATTCTAACAGACAAGAAATCTTGTTTCTCATGCACACAGCGAGACTGACTTAAGCTGACCCAAAACATAACCACTTATGTTTCTTCGCTTTGTTGCCACACGATAGCCAATCTGTGCAACTGCAAGATCCGTTGATCATCTTTTTCAAAGATAACATATATTCCCTATGATCTCTGAAAACTTCAGTTCCTAAGAGATTGGTAACCTGACTTGATTCCATCTTCTTAAGTCTAGCTTTGACTTAATATGAGTATGTATTAATTTGAGATAGCCTCCATCCCAAATGACTCAAAATCAATCTCTAACACTGATCACGAACACACCCACTTGTGAAGTTGTTCTCGCTTCAGCCTATATGGGTCTTCTCATTCTTGCAAAACACCATTGCATCCTTTGCAAGTCTCTCATCATCAGTTCCCAAATCTGAAACCATCATGTGCATTTAGATCCTCCTGTGAATGTATTTTTCCTATGTCCTTCCATGAGGTCGTCTTTATCTACAGCAAACGAACGCCATATGTTTCTTTCTTTGATGTTGCCTATCTTTCAGCATCATCTCTTGTTCATCACACATGATGCGATCGTTACTACAAATCTACTAATTCTTCTTCTCCAGAATTTATCCAGCTGATATCTATGCTACCTTGAAGATCTTGCGGAACATGGATCACCACTTCCTCAAACCAGAAGTCCTTTGACTCAATATCTTAACAAACTTCAACAACCTGTGGACACCAACTCCTTATTCTAAGAATTTCTTTGTAACAATCTGAATGAACACCTCATCTTGAACATCTCTCTAAACCGTTGCTATTGCCAACATAACCTGCCGCTTAGCTCAACTTGCTAAGAAGACTTTCGACGCAAAGAATCTCTGCTGAAACTCTGCTCAAACAAATCATTACCTCTGCATGATACCTTGTCGACCCATTTGTTTCCCTCATATGCGTAAGAAACCAAAACAAACTACTACTGAATCACATGCAAAAAAACCCAAAAAACATACTTGTTTCCATTCTGGATTAGTCTCTAATTTGAACCGTCACATGTTCAGCCGAACTCCGCCATAAACAAGTAACTCCTCATTCTCGCAGATCCATCCCAACAGAAAACTATGTATAACGCCAGACACATACCTGTTTAGAAAACCACACTGCATTCCCTCTGAAAATAGCAGCCTTGTAGTATCTTACTCTCTGAACATCTACCCAACTGTAGACTCTCTTAATCACAAATAGTCGAACCCTACATCAGCCGATTTACTTCAATCCTTCTGCAACATCCTTCACGCTAACTGAAGAATATCATCTGAACAGCCATGAAAGATTCATATCATTCAAAGTTCTAAGGCGTCTCCTAGTTCAAAGAATTTATGAGATACTGAGCTGAAATATCCATATAGATTAGAACACCACCTGTGACTGATATACCAAGTAGATTGAACCCAAGAAGATTGTGAAATCCCTCATTGAATCTTTAGACAGTCCCATACAAAACCAGTGGGAAATCCCCTTGTGTTCCACTATGGTTTCAGCTCCAGTAACTTGCATAACTTAAAGAAAACTAAAACTCCAATGCATATAGTCACACACACCTTGTGACTGCAGATCGAGGCAGTTCTGAAACCTCTCTTTCTTATGCTAGCAGCCTACCACCATATTATCTTGTGAGTAGCCTGAAGTTATTCTCACATAGCATCAGATTCTTGCACCCTTGGAGAAATTTAGATAAAACCTGATTTCCAAACTAGAAATCATCTCAATGGATTCAACTGACTCGTGAATCCTTTCTCCATAAACTTGTGCAGCTGCAGCGAAGAACGTCCAACATTTTTCTTCCTTTATTGTAAACCAAATTTCTCTTTCACCTGATCTTGATCTCAGTGTATCCTCTGATTTTTAGTCTGATTTGGGTAAAACCATGTGACCACCAGCTTCCATTAACCTTGCGATTCTTCTATCTCTCTTGTAAGCTTCAACACGAAATTCTTCATATGTCTCTCCTCCACGATACGTGGAATCCGTGAATTGTTGAGCATGTGCTCTGATGCCACTTGTTACAAAATTTATAGCTCTTAATATCAGTTTTTGAGGATCTGAAGCTCTTTGATACCAAGTGGCGAGGTATCAATCACTAATATTCCCATGTCCTTTGACCCACTCATATGATTTACATATATTCTTGTTCATGATTCAAGACCTTTTCACCCAGTTCACGGCCGCACCGCTACATCTAGGGTGGATCTAGGATTCACAACATCCACTATGAAGTTTCAGAAAACACCTCCGATGTGGTTTACAAGATTATCACTCTCTTTGTTCTGGGTATACAAACCCTAAAGTATACAAAAAATACAAGAGAAGTATATGGCTAAGAGTCAAGCCTAGGATTACATCTCCATCTCTAGCTTACTTTATCTCTATAAGAGACGCCATGGAAGCTCTCCTCAGAGGCTTGGAGGCTTTGCTTAGAGGCTACCGTCGTGACTTCTCCTTATTTGTATACCAACACTTAACCTAATGGGTTTCAATGATTAGGTCTATTGATTGTCCACGCGTAACTTGTATAAGTCGATTCAATATTAAACAAGTCTAATGAATGGGCTTAACCAAATCTCACAAAAATGTGTGGGAAACATGGGATGCATTAAGATTTATACTATAACTTTCTTGTTAATCTAGTTTACAAAATTTTTTTTTTTTTGTTAATCAGCAGTTACCCATGTTTTAAAATTTAACTAGAATTTGACCTACACCTTGTGGTGCAGGTGTTTGATTTAACTTGTGTTCAACGTAAATTCATATACATAATTTTTAATGTTTTGTAATTTACATATATAGAAGAATATAATATTTTATAGTATAAAATGTTAATAATAATTTTTTATTTGTACATAATATTATATTAAAAATTAATAGTTTGATGTAATTGTACATATATTACCATGTTGTTTTTTGTTAATTTATTTTAAAATGAGAAAATATATTAAAAATTAATTTTTATATTAGTTTTCTATGATTTATCATTAATTTTATGATACTCTTTTTCTTGAAAATTAAACTCTCAAAATTTTATATTTGACTAAATTAAATAAGGTAAAACTATATTTAGAAACTATATTATATAATATATACTCTATACAGTATTTCAGTTTGTATTTTTATTTTCACCACAAAGAAAGAAAAATCATTGTAACTAATTAATTTAAATTGGTTTTAAATGCAATGGCAGAATCTACAAATAAAAATAAATATAAAAAATATTTAATTTAGTGTAAATATAATGGCTAAATATGCAAATAAAAAGAAATAATTAATGTAA